GTTATGCAAACTCCTCTCATTAGAGAGATCTTCGTTAGGTGATGAATTAGGTGAGATATTTTCAGTTGTGCTGGCTCCACCAATAGAAGACGTGTCTTGCACATAGTAATAACTTGAGTTTGCTGTTTGAGCTCCTCAAAATTGTGCCTTAATTTAACTACTTCAGCTTTAAGCTCAACATTTTCAGCTTTGTGTCTGGCACTCTCTCCCATAACATGTTCTGGAATTCTAACCTCAAGCTCATCTTTTTCTTTTGCAATCTGTTCCAATTCTTTGATTCTAGCCACAAGTCTGGCATTCTCCTGTTTCAATAAATCTAGTTCAGATTTGGTGTTTCCCATTGTTTTATATGTTCAAAAGTTTGTTTATATGAATACCGCAACAAAATGTCTCAATCAGAATTATGACATTTCATAAATGCAAATGAGTGAGATTTCATGATCAGGCTTTTTTCCCTGAGCCAGATACCCACTATTATAATTATAATTACAAGTTTAAATATCATGCATAAAAAAACCATGACAAAACGGTATGATCGTAAAAATTATTGATATGTATTCAGGAATATGCATGCCATATATATTTTTGTATAATTACAAATAGCATGAATGTACTGGAGGAAATATTCACGTTTTACAAACCAATATAACCCGCAAAATGGCTGCCACAAGCGAAAAATAATAGATATTTTATTTGTTGAATTTATTACTCGTCAGATAATGACAATGATGGTAGTAGTGATGATAATGATTTAGAATTATTAGTATTAATACTAATATTTATTTTGATCCAAATGCTAATCAATGTCTTCGTTTGTATGCATGGTTACTCTCCATATGTTTAATCATATTGTATGAATCGGTAAAGGTTTTTGAGCATGAGGAACAATAGAATGATACAGGTTCAGGTGATACTGATTCTTGCTGTAATTAAACCAATAAATACAAAGGATAAAATTGATTGTACATGTCAAAAAGTAAAAAATAATAAAAACGTACCTGTGAAATTACATGTTTGATTTGCCATATTTCTAAAGTAAACCTTGGTAAAAAAATCCACATTATCAACATCTTTCCATCCATGTTTAATATGGCATCGATCCCTTCTATATATGTGAATCTCTTTATTTTCTGGGTCTATTAACCACCCTAATTGTACAGAAGTCCCCTCTGCAAAGTATACATCCTTGAATTTTCTATCAAGTTCCTCAAACTTTGAATGACTTGAAATGTTTCTAACTTCAATAATAATGTAGGGGTGAAAGGATCACCTTTAAAACTCCAATTCTGTTGTGCATCCAATTGACAATCTATTTCTTTAGATGTATAAGAAATATCTGGCGCTCTGATTGTTTTACCACCTCAAAACATCAAAATTGAATCCTCCCTGTGACAAGGTAACACCCCCATTTTGCCATGTCCAGATATTCCAATTACGAAGTTGTGCAACAATCTCAGCGACAACTTTTTCTCCAGAATAGGGTGATCATGGCATAGGGATAAGCTTGCCATTTATTTACTCTCATCTCAACATACCATTTTTAAAACACCAATTTCTTGCAAATTGCAAACACTATCAAAAGCAACATCAAACTAACATAGATGTATAATAAGTTAGAAATAGCTG